AAAAAAAAAAAAAAACCATTTATTGGCTCTTCGGCTCTCCATACACCATATTAGTGCGTTCGCTTTCTTCTCCCTCTCTCATCCTCCTCCCTATTTCCTTTCTTCTCTCCGTCCTCCTTCCCTTGTCTACTTCCCCTTCCTCTCTCCTACTCCTCTCTCCCCTTTCCACTCCTCATTTCTCTCCTCCTCTTCCCCCCACCTCCTGCCCTCTCTCCTATCCTTCTCTCCTTCCCTTACGTCTTTCCTTTTCTTCCCACTCTTCATCTCATTTGCTTGGTGTATTTCAGCTTCTTAGCAAGCTCCATTTTATGTTGATGGTATTTATAGTTCCTTTTCAATATACAGTACATATTTTATTTTAAACATATATCTCTTCCTTTAAAAAAAGAAAAGAATAATAGAACAAAAAAGTATACATATATAGTCATTGTACTTTAACACCCCCCCCACACACACACCTAATTTTGGTTGAGATGTAGACCTGGTTATAATTCCCAACTATTCCCAACATTATTATTATAATTATACATCCTTACGTACCCCCCAATTTGTGATTCTGCCTTTAAGTCCCATTATAGGTGTATTTCATGTTCCCTCTCAAATTTTTCCATTTCTTGGATTAGATTACCTTTAGTTGTCTATGAGTAGCAAACCTCACTGTTCAATATTCGTTTCAATTCCCTTAATCTATTGTGTAGAATAACTGTTATTCTGTTCTATTATAAATTGCAGAACTGCCACCATACTGGTTTTATTCAAAAGCAAACCCTAAGAGTCTCACAAGTACGTATTCTGCAGGAAAGGGAAGGAAGCAGATTAACTGTGCAATCCTATAAGTGTATAATAATAAGGCACAACGCTCTTCAGATCCAGTGAATTTTAATCCCAGACAAAATGAATATGAAAATGATAATCAATAAGACGAATCCCCAAAATAAAATGTGTGCACGGGGGTGAAAATATTTCACAAGACAATTTCTTCTCACTTTCAAAAATGCTCAATTTGATTTCTCATTAGCATCTTTTAAAGGGGGAGGGACTGAAATATTAAAAGCAGCCAAGAACTATTTTAATATTTAATCACTTTTTAAAAAACCCATCATTAAATGATTCTATGTTTAACACGTATCCAAATTAATAATACCTACAAGCATTCTCAAATGTTTAAAAGTACTCATTTCTAATAAGCTGAAACAGTCTTTTTAATCCAGTGCCTCAGAATTATTGTCCCTATTTGGAGGAGGGAACAGTTGAGGCAGTTAAGTGAAAAGGAGAATTGCTTTCCTAGGGCCTTTGGGCAAATTTCATGTCATTTCTTTGCTTGTCCCACTTGTCCTTGGAGAGATCTCAAAATGTCTGACATCGAAAAAAGTCCCATTTTGCAGGGGGATTTTAGGCTGCATTTCCAAATTGGCTCCAGAATTTGGCTTACCTAGGCAATTCTCTCCCACTCTCCCCCACCCCCGGCCCCCAATAGATGTGCTCAGTTGTGGACAAGAGTCAATGAGCTGCAAGAGGATTACACTGAGCCATGACGATCAAAAAGGAGATAGGATTCAGACACGCAACCATGAAAATCAATGTAGCACACTGGCTAAGATATTAGGTTAGAAAAAAAACCCAAATTCAGTTCCATCCTCGGCTATAAAATCTTTCTCGATGATTTTGGGGCCAGAAACTCAGCCCAGGCCAGCTCACAGAGACATTGTTATGGGGAAAGTTTGGGAAATAGCGTTGTATGAAGTTAAAACCTACCCCATCCTAGAAAAATGAAATATCCTGGGAAATATGGAAAAGGCAGAATATTATATTTCCCTGTATAAGAAATGGAGAGACATGTTTTTAGGCAGAAAACAGATTCATTCTTAATAGCCCCCACCTTTGTCAATGGGCCATTAAAATGCCTGAACCAGTCTATTCTACATAACAAAGATCTCCCCCTTCAGCTCCAGGGTGATGGGATTAAGGCATATTAGTCCTTTACCCATCTCACCACAGGGCACCTGGGAAGAAGCAATGCTTAACCAAACCTGGACTCAAAACACAGCCTAGAGAGTTGCCCCTGCATGGTCCCGTGGGAGTCTGACAACCAATCAGAATAGCAATAGCAATAGCAGTAGACTTATATACCGTTTCATAGGGCTTTCAGCCCTCTCTAAGCGGTTTACAGAGAGTCAGCATATTGCCCCCAACAATCTGGGTCCTCATTTTACCCACCTCGGAAGGATGGAAGGCTGAGTCAACCATGAGCCAGTGAGATTTGAACCGCTGAACTGCTGATCTAGCAGTAGCCTGCAGTGCTGCATTTAACCACTGCGCCACCTTGGCTCAAGATCAAGATCATAGCCCAGAGAGGACATAAATCCAGGGACTTTCAGCATCTCTGTCTCTTTTTCTTCTTTACCCAACATCTGGAAGCATGTGATCCCCCTTTTCTGTTCAGGAGCTCAAGCCATGTGATCTTGTCCACCATTAAACCATCTTTCCAAATAGCCTCCATGTTCCCAGTGTCTTTTTCTCCACTTGGAACTGAATCCAGAAGGACGTTTCTTCCAATAGTGTCTTATAGGATCCAATCTGAGTCGGTCACCGGGACCAGAGGTTTAGTCTTCTGAGCTTTCAGACTCGTGCTGGAGCCCATCCTCATCGCCATATTCTTTCTAGCAGAGTGTGTGCCTAAACCTCTGGTCCCGGTGACTGACCCAGATGTATCCTGCAACATTATCCTTGGGCCCGTACAGTATATTTGCCTTCAGTCAACAGAGTGTTACGTATGCCACTTTGCTGTTAGAGGGACAGTGGGATATAAATCTAACAAATAAAGCATGATTTGCAACCATTTCCGATGGGAAGAAATTCAGGTAATTGTGTGTTGGAAGTTAAAACCCACCCTTCTCCTAGAGAAATGAAATATTTTAGGAAATATTAAAAGGGCAGAGTATTTTATATTTTGTATTGTCTTATTTATCCCCCTCCCCTCTTTTATTGTAAGCCGCCCGGAGTCCTTCGGGAGTGGACGGCATACAAGACCAATAAAACCAAAATCAAACCAATTTCCTCTAAAAGGGAGGCAGAAACTCAGCTCCCCCCGCCACTAAGGGCCATTAAGGTCTAACCCAGTCTATTCTACATAACGAAGATCTACCCCTTTCAGGCAGACCCATCTAGCAAACAGAAACTCACCACAAGAAACCTGGGAAAATTGCACCAGCCAGCAAGGCAAACAAGCTTGGGGTCTCAGGGCAGCCTACAAAGTTAGCTAACCCCCCCCCCCGCCCCCTGGGAGTCTGACAACCAATCAGAATGCATTTCTTACACAGGAACGGTAAGCTTTGAGGTGGGACCCAGAGAGGGCATAAAACCAGGGCACTCTCAACATCTCCCTTTCTGTTCAGAAGCTCAAGCCACGTGATCCTGTCCACCATTAAACCATCTTTCCAAGCAGCCTTCATGTTTCCAGTGTCTATTTTCCCACTTGGTATGGAACCCAGAAAGACGCTTTTTCCCAACGTGTGTGTAGCAAAATGCATCTCCTTCTCGCAGTGTCCTTGCAAACTGCTCTCAATCCGTACAGAAAATACTGGGTAAATCTGCCAAATAGAAATAGCCTCAATCTCATCAGAGACGGTTCACCATTTCCAGTCTGTTTTTACCGAACTGGTTTGCTAAACCAAAGGGATGTTGTAGAACAAAAGCAGCCGAGCATCTTT